GACTGCAAAAATAGTTGAATAGTTGAGTCGAAATTTCGAGTTTCGCATTACTAAAAGACGCAAGGATCATAGTAGCTATTCATAGCGGATTGCTGTTTCATGTGTGAAAAATGATCATGAATAATGGACGTTACATAAATAACAAGAACGATGACAGTTGTTTGGTTAGTTTTGAAAAAGGTTGAAATTGACGAGGATCGTTCTCGAGACATCATTTGGAAGCGCAAGTTTTATCTGAAGTATAACCCAATCAGTCGAGGGTAATGCGAGTCTCCCTCGACGAGCGTTATTTTTTCTATAAAATATACAGATAGTTATGGTAGAAATAGACTATATAAATATACAAAATGATAGTGTATGCATAACAATCAGAACTATTAAATTAAAATAAACAAAAAGACGCTTCATTGCATAATCTTGCCCTATACTGAATTACGCATGCAGCAATACTGTCTATGTCATTGCTAGTTGTTACAGATATGTACATACCTTCACATGCGCGACCGTCTGTTTTTCTCTATCGCTCACATAGTTTCTCTTTTTACATGTTTGGCGGTGTTTTTCGAATAAAGGCATTCTTCGTTTACAGAGACTCGAGAGACGCTCATCTCTAATATTGGTGCCGTTCCCGCTCTCATCTTAAACTCGTTATTTGTTCGTTGATCATTCAATTCATCACTCGTCGTTCAATACGTTACTCATTCGTTCAATTCGCTACTCATATCTACCAATCGTTTCTTCATCTTTGTCTGCTTAATTTTTTCGTACACATATTCTATTCTTCTTCATCATCAAAACGGCTCGACCTCACTTACGCAGTAATTCGGAATCTTCAAACCTTCTACCACACGAACTCATTACTTACGGTCGTATTCGTCCACCAAAGACAATGCCTACTGAGCCTACTGCCACTACTGCTGCTACACCAGATCCTTTTCTCGCTTCTCTTCAAGCTACCGCCCTAAAAGAGTTACAAAAATTTACTGGTGATCCATCACAAAAAGTTGTTCATTTTATCAATTCTATTGAACAATTACGCACATTCACTCCATTAACTGATGCTATGTTACATGCAGTTGCTACACTTAAATTAGGTGGTTCAGCATTTAGTTGGTACGAAAACAATAGAGACTCCTTAAATTCCTGGAGTTCCTTAAAAGCTCACCTTTTGGAACGTTTTAAACCATCACTATCAACTGCTAAAACACGGTTAAAAGAACGACGTCAACAACCTGGTGATTCCTTACTGGTTTATTACGATGATATTATTGATCCCTGTCAACAAGTTGATCATAGTATGCCACACCATATGATTATCGATTATTTACAAGATGGTCTTCGTGATGAACTTAAAATTCATGTTAAACGTCGTATGAGAACATTTACTGAACCACCATCACCAGCTCAATTCTTAAAAATTGCACGTGATGAAGAAGAATTACAACAGGAAGTCTTATATTCTCAGACATCCGTTATTAACACCACTCAAGCATACTTTGCTCCCGTTTCTGCAGTCACTAGTGTTCCTCCACTTCTATCACCTCCTTTCATGAACACATTATCATACGACCATTCATCATCTCGTTCTCCTCAATCGCAAAATCAATATCGGCCTTGTTTAATCTGCAAACAATCTAATCATCGCACTATCAATCGTCGTGAAAAAAATCCTCTGGTTGTTATAAGTGTGGTGCAACTAATCATCTGGTTCATAAATGCCCGCAGGTTTTTCAATAACTGGGGCTTCAGATGGCGGAGTTCCCAGTTATTCAATGCCATCATCAATTATTCCACAACATCCTATTCTTATTCGTGCTTTCGTTAATAACGTTTGTCATCCCGTCGTTTTAGATACAGGTTCTAACATTACTATTATTCATCGCAAATTTTTACAACAAATTCAACATACTGGCTTTCGCTCTATCTCTTCCATTTCTTCTTCTGCTAATTGTACATCACTTGATGTTATCGGTGAAGCTGATCTTACCATAAAACTCAATAATATTCTTACCACCATCACTGCTGCTGTTACTACATCTCTTGTTACTGATGTCTTACTTGGTGCAGATTGGATTAATCTGTATGTCCGATCGATTGACATTCACCATCAACTGCTGATTGCCCATGACACACATGGTCAATGTACAACTATTCCACTTGTTCACACACCCAACTCGTCATCTACTTCAGTCGTTACTTTCATTAATTCCGTTACCATACCACAATATTCGACGTGCATCGTACTCGTTCGAACGCCTTCCATCACTAATACAACCGTTATTTTCGAACCTGTTCCACAAATTCATACTAAACCACTCTTTATTCCTGATTCGATAATTCAAATAACTGATCATCAATCTCTTATACCCATTGCTAATCAGACGGATCATCCATATACAATACCACAAAATACCTGTATTGGAACTGCATCATCTTCACCTTTCATCTGTGCGATGTCGTCTTCTATTCCACCTCACTACCACTCATCATCATCATCGAATACATCACATTCTGACTCGTTATCAACGTTTACTTGTTACGTCTGCAAAGCTGTTTTTCTCACTAGCAATGATTTACATCGTCATCTTCGTGATCAATGTTATCCAGTTGAACTCCGCCATCAAATCAATACTCTTACTTCATCCATTACTGACTCTACTAATCGTACAAAAATTCAAAATCTTCTTTGGCAATATGGTAAACTATTTGATATTCGTCAACCGTCGAAAATTAACTTTACACTTGAACATGCTATTGATACGGGTCAACATCGCCCTGTTTATACTCCACCTTATCGTCGTTCACCAAAAGATCATGACTTACTTACCGAACAAACTCGAAAACTCTCTAATCAAGCAATCATCGAACCTTCAACGTCACCATGGTGCTCGCCTGTTGTCTTAGTTAAGAAGAAAGATGGGAGTACACGTTTTTGTGTTGATTATCGTAAATTAAATGACATTACTGTGAAAGATTCATTTCCATTACCTCGCATTGATGATATTTTCGACCAACTATCTCAATCTATTTACTTTACCAAACTCGATTTTAAAAACGGCTATTTTCAAATTCCACTTGCACCATCTGATCGTCCAAAAACTGCATTTTCCACACGTGATGCTCATTATCAGTTTACAGTTCTTCCACAAGGTGTAAAAAATGGTCCTCCTACCTTTCAACGCATCGTCAATCAAATTTTAGGTTCTGCTCGTTGGAAATTTTGCCTCGCCTACATCGATGACATTTTAATTTTCTCACGCACATTAGACGATCACATTATACATCTGAATGAAGTTTTTCACTTACTTCATTCTTTCAATTTTCGTTTAAGTGTTGATAAATGCACTATTGCTTCTGATCACATCGATTTTCTTGGTCATCATATTCATCGTGGTCAAATACGTCCAAATCTCACCAATGTTCGTGATCTACTCGAATCTCCAGTACTATCAACAACACAAGAGATATTTCGATTTGTCAAAGCGGCTGAATACTATCGAAAATTCATTCCAAATTTTTCTCGTATCGCTGCACCCTTATACAAATATACACCATCATCACGCACTCCACACACTGTTCAACCTTCAACATCATGGAATATATCTACATCTGAAAAAGCTGCATATGATCAACTCAAACATATACTTTCTACTGATTTAGTTTTACAACTTCCTGATTATGATTTACCATTTAAAATTCAAACGGACGCTTCTAAAATCGGTATCGGTGCAGTTCTACTTCAAACATATCCTGAAGGTGATCGTCCAGTATGCTATATGTCGAAAAAATTATCACCAAGTCAACAACGCTGGCCCGCTATTGAACAAGAATGTTATGCCATCGTGGTTGCTATTGAACAATGGCGTCATTATCTTCATGGTCGTCATTTTATCATTGAATCGGATCACAAGCCATTAGAATCATTTACTGTCAAACCTCAATTAAATGATAAATGTGAACGTTGGCGTCTAAAATTGCAAGCATATGATTTTACCGTTCGTCATATTCCAGGCAAATCAAATACCATGGCTGACTTTCTCTCTCGATCACCTGTAGATGTTATTTTACACGATCTCGACACCGATATACCACCAACTTTTATCTCCACCGCCACTCAAACCACTAGTAATACATCTCCGGCTGCATCTACACCATCAAGTATCAACATGGTTACTACTCGATCTCGCTCAAAAGAATTACTTGCACTGAACCATGATCAACCTCTCATCTCTACCACCAACTCTTCTATTATCACGCCTCTTTCAACATCCGATCCTCTTCGAATCACTTTCACGGGTGACATTTCTGTTTTGAAACACGCTCAAGAATCTGATCCAACTGCCCAACATATTATTAAAAATCTTCATACTCTACCTTATATTAAATCGTATTCACTATCAGATGGTCTTCTCATGCATCACGATTCTCATCATAAACCAGTACCTTATGTTCCACCCGGTCCAATTCGCACTGATATCTTGAAAATATACCATGATACACCAGCTAATGGTGCACATTTCGGTCGTGATAAAACTATCGCAATAATCAAAACTCGTTACTATTGGGAAAATATGCGGTCTGACATTATTACTCATATTAAATCTTGTCTTCGTTGTACACAAAATAATCCTATTCGACGTAAACCACCTGGTCATCTCCAACCAATCGAACCTCCAGCCGGTGTTTGGCACTTGTTAGCTATGGATTTTCATGGACCTATTTCTCCTACCAGTCAGCGTGGCAACAAATATATCATCTCATTAACCGATATTCTATCCAAATTTGTTATTGTAAAAGCTGTTCGTGATTGTACTGCTGATACCGCTGCTCGTTTTCTTCAAGAAGATGTTATTTGCAAATATGGTACACCTAAATGTATTTTAACTAATAATGGAACTCATTTTACTTCGAACATGATGGCTCAACTTTTTCAACGTCTCGGTATTGTTCACGTATATTCTACACCATACCACCCACAAACAAATGGTCAAATCGAACGATTCAACAGTACAATGGATTCAAAGATCGCATCATTATCCAATTCATCTCACTCTAATTGGGACGACCAACTACCATATGTAATTTTCAATTATAACACCAATATTCACTCCACAGCCAACATCATTCCATTTGAATTAATGTATGGCCGTTCTCCAGTACTTCCATGTGACCCACAAGATCCTATGGTTTCAATACAGATCGATCCTCATCATCGTCAAAAATTACAACAATACATATCATCTCTTACTAACATGGCTCAAGACCATCTTCGATCAGCTCAAGCAGTATACAAAGCTCGGTTCGACGCACATCGATCAAATCCTTCATACTCTATCAATGATTTAGTACTTGTCAAAACATTGAAACCTCGTCATAAATTTGATGTTCGTCATGAAGGTCCTTATAGAATTATCCAACGTCTTAATGATAAAACTTATGTAATCCAGCACGTCCATTTACACCACATAACTCGTCAAGTTACTGTGGACTCTCTTATTCCATTATCATCACGATGATGGTATACTTCATCACTACATTCGTCGGTATTTATTCAAATATTTTTCACTGTTCTTCGTCTTTATCGCTCATACTTCATCTTCGTCTATTCATTCGTATCTTTTCTATTACCTCAATCACTCGTTCCACGAATATTATGCTTGGATTCTTCATTATTTTGTTTTTGGTTCATGTTTCCGTGGCTACTCCTGGTCGCTTCAAACGTTTTCTTAATTCGGAGGTGCATAACCGAATCGATGTGCTGGAGCAATCTCATAGCACTCATCGCAACGACACCAACTGGATGGGTACCATTATGGTTTCGATCATCCTCAGTTTAGCAATTATCTCCATCACCATTTTCATTACATTTATTTATATATGCTATCGTGTACGCCGCCGTGTACAAGCAACTCAAGCTCCTACAGTTGCTGCTGTAGAAGCATCAATTTTACCTCAACTACACCCAATTATTCCACCACTATTGGCACTACTTCGTCAACAACATCAACTCGACATATCTCCACCGCCTCATACATCATTACACTACCCATCTTCAACATCTACTGCTACACCATCTATTCCTTTCACAAGTCTCCCAACACTTAAATTTTAATATTCTCGTCGTTGTTTTTCTTTTGGCTACACTAACATTATGAACTGTGTTTCTCTTCTTTCATCTAACTTCACTCGATTTGTTCTTCTCATTCGCATTTTTTTTTTCTATTATTATTAAATGTCTGGACACATTTTTTCGTTGGTGGGGAAGTATGTTACAGATGTGTACATACCTTCACATGTGCGACCATCTGTTTTTCTCTATCGCTCACATAGTTTCTCTTTTTACATGTTTGGCGATGTTTTTCGAATAAAGGCATTCTTCGTTTACAGAGCCTCGCGAGACGCTCANGCTAATTCTCAAGTAAAATCTTTTCGTATTCATTCGCTGATCAAAATTTCTGTATTTAGTTCCAGCTTCTGTCAAGTCTTTGTTCATCTATACAAAATGCAATTCGTCAAAATGAAATTGATCTTAGTAACACCGAGTTTCTTAGTATAAATCTTCTATCTGACAGGGAAGTTCAGTCCCAGGTGAATACAACTATTGAATTATTCATTAATAGTATCTCTATTCGGATAATTTCAATTTTGAATTATCTCAAAATTATCACTCAAGCAAACTTTTTCATCTCAGCCCTTAATACCAATTCAATCATTTCAGTTTACAATTCCGGTTCTGGATATATATCTACTTAATCCCAACAGTTTTTTAGCGACAATTATAATGATTATTATGGAATTGATTACCATTCTGTTTTGTGTATTAATGGAAATCCACTTACCAAAACAGGTTTCTTCTCACATAAAGGACCAGGAACATTATATCGGTTAATCTGGACACCACCCGAATCGAATTCGACATTGGCTAATGGTTTTTTTGCAGGATGTACTCCACTTGTCGGTATTCTTCACAGTACACTTGATTGTTTGTATGATATCGAATGTATTGAATTGTGGTCGAAATACTTTCCTGATCTGAATCAAGTATCTATAATAATTGACTTTTTTCTCAATTTTCAAATCTCTTTTTTCGTTGATAGATTGATGTCAATTGGACAAACTCAATTTTAAAAGAAAATGAAAACATGTCTGTTAGTGATTATTTATCTTTAGTTTTCATTGAAAAGCAAATTATCTCAGTGAATTATTCCAAATATTTTCATGCATGTTCGCCGCAGTTTTGCACGTACACGATGACCAATAAATTCGATTTCTCGTACGCAATTACCATTTTCATTGGTCTCTACGGTGGTCTCATCATTATATTACGATTAATTTCACCATTTCTCATCCTTTTCTTCACAAGATTTCACATTTTTCAACTAAGTATATCTCGAATAAAATTTATCTCATTCATAAACAGTGTTTTTGGAAGGAAACTTTTCAACAGATTCTAAATAAAGTTCTTATCGAACAGTCTAAAAACAAGTGAATCGAGTACCGATGCACATAACTTGTCAGTAGTTGTCAAATAAAAAGATATGAGATTATCTTTTTATTTAACATTTATTAAATAAAGCCTTAATCCATATTTGATCAAAGATCTTTTTTTATTAAAATAATTGAATATAATACAATACAATACAACAAACAAAGCTAATGCATTCTATTTCGTTCTATTAAGATTTGTAGAATAAAAATATACTTTTCACTTCATTTCGAAATGTTTTTGAAATTAATAAATTTATATAAAAACTCATACAGTATGGAATATATCCAAACACAGCACAAGTATATTGAATAAAGCTATCAATTTGTGTTTGTTCGAAAGTTTTGATATTGTATTGACTTATTTGTTGATAAAGAACCATGATTGATAATGGAAAACTTGATATAAAATAAAGTAAAACATCAGTAAGAACGACTCGAATAAGTTGATGATCTTTTGAACGTAACCGTTGAGAAATACCATTTGAACTTATTCCATCATTTGATGCAACAATATGAACTTGATTTTTACCTATTTGACTAACATTTCTTGCTGCTAGAATACCAAGACATGCTAAGATTAATGGACTAAGTACAGCGTTGCTTGTCATATAGTAACTAAGAACTGATAAATACGTTCCCAATTGAGCATAACAAACAAAATAACCCGGTGCAGATTGAAGAATAGTTGAGAAAATTAGAACATGAATATGACATATTAACCAAAATAATGTTAAACTTATGATTGAAATAAAAGCAAGACGACGAGTGCTTCGTTGTCGTATTATTGCATTTCTTGATGTAATTAAAATTCGATCAACAGATGCCAGAATTAAATAACATGAACATAAAACAGTTAAAACTATTGACATATATAAACTCACTCGACAACTATGGATATTTTGTGAAGAAATCATTATATCATAACCATAATATAATACTGCTTGTATTATTATAATATGAATATATGTTAAATTACCCAGATAATATGCAATCATATACATTGAACAGGGATTTTTTCGAAAAGTTTTTCTTGAAAAAACCATTAAACCAAGTAGAGAACCGATCGTACCAAGAATAAGCAAAACTAAGACAACAGATTTTGAAAGATTTCTCTGAATAATTCCCAATTGAATAATCAAATTAGCATTGCTTGATTGAGACGACATCCTAAGACAAAAATGTTCAAACTTGCAAATGATTTTCTAAGAATGAAAGAGAGTTTTATATTTAATCCTTTCGTGACGTAAAAGCTCGTTTGTATTGTTTATTTGTGCCTAGTAGGAGTGTTAATTTATTTTATAAGGTCAAATAAAATGATAACTTCCGGTGCCTGCATATTGAAAAATTTTTTCATCGTTTAATCTTTAAAAAGCCTTCTTTACCAAAGTAGATTTGATAAACATCATAAGATTTTGCGATTGTAATTAAAGAGATTGAAATTTTTTTTGAACAAAAAGTAATCTTCACTTTCATAATTGATAAAATCTAGTGAAATAACTCGAATAAATATATTTATTCTTAGCTTTATGTGTGTGTGTTGCATGAAAATTTTGATTAGAAAGATTTAATATTAAATTATCGTACACACATATGAAGAGATGCAAAACGAAAATAATTTTTGTTTTTAATCAGTTTTAATTAGAATCCGAAGAGTCTTTAGAAGCATTTAAATATGATTATTTATAAAAGTGCATCTAAGAATTTGGTCAAATGTTGTTCTTTCCATAATAAGGCATTGTATTGATTTTAACCATGAGAATATATCAAATGTTCGTAAGCATCTCTATAATTTTTGTATTCATAGATTTTAGTTTGAAATTATATTCGAAATTAAATTTAGTAATACAGACATTGTATTCTTCTTATTTATCGGACACTTCTCAATGAAAAACAGTTCTATTTTTTCTGTTCTTTTAATCGAAAATGCTGTCAGTAGTGATAAATCATTTTAATCTTTCGTATAACTATTTTATTTAACTATATGGCAACACTACTGAGTAGTTTTCATTATCTTTACAAACAATCACATTATCATTTTATCTAAAAGAATATAAAACCATCTTCAGATCGGGATACAGAATGATTATCATCCTAAAAGTTGTTTTTAACGAATCTCACGTTCATCTTAAAGTATGTAATAAAATATTTCTTTAATATCGGTGATGATTCTTCAACTGTTTGACTGAGAAGAAAAACGTAATTTCTTCCTGCAAATCCCTTGATGAAAGATTTCAATGCTCGTCATTCTTTTTACCAATGAAATAATTAGAAATTTTTTACATGTTTTAACAGTTTCTTTTTAACCTATCTAATGAAACGAAGTTTTACATTATTAACACATTCGATCCGATAGATTCTACCAGTGGAATTCATAGTGATTGGGAGAACTTTGCATCTCGTATTTTAATCTCTAAAGACATTTTATTAAGAAAACAAATTATATCAATAGATGCAGCGTGGAAAGTAAAGTTTATCTGAATCGATGTAATTTTTGTCTTCAAAAAACTAAAATTCTGTGTAATAATGTTTTGTTAGAAAGTAGCGTCGCTCACTGATGGGCAACGTCGAATTGAATATGTTAATACACACATTTGTTTATTCAAATCAATTTAAAAAGTTCTTTTTATCTTACTATTTACAAAATAGATCGTTTTTAATTGAGTTAATAAGGGCGATGGTGATGAAGATGATAGCTGATGATTATAAAGGCGAATCTGATTGATGGTAGCTCAATAAGATCCATGTAATATACTTGAATCGTAAGAAATTCATTATTTTCTATATATTGATTAGAAGTGTGTTGATTTGGTAGTCCGATTAGTCCTGGTACTGAATACATATGTGATGATCGTTTTTTTTTCAAAATTCAAGTTGAAATTTAAAAGACTATAGACTCATACAACTACACGAAAGCATCTAAGATATTCAATGAGTGATCCGTCGATTCATTCATCGTAGATATTCAATTTATCAGCTTTACGCTGCGCGATATATGATCGGTCAGTTTTATTATCCACTATAGTTATTCGTTGGTTTCATCCAGAGGTAAGACGCAAGTACATGTACTTGTACTTCTAGTAGAGTACTTTATACTCAGGGGTGGGCCATTTCCGTTAATTTGAAATTAACGTCAACGGCAACCCGTTAACCGTTAATATTAACGTTAACGGTTGATGTTAACGTTAATATTAACAATTAACGCGTTACACTTAACCGTTAATTTCCACTTAATGAAGTGATTAACGTATAAGAAACATCGTCTATTACTTCAGACGCAATTGTAGATCCATTCTGACTTCGCATCTATAGATTCATGAACGAAAACTCAAAGGTCCATGGTTAATATCGCACAACCGAAGTAAAACACTACATCCTTGAAAGGAAATAAACAACCAATGCAGATCTCTGGATATCAAAAAAACGTCCTTATATAAGGCCTCCCTAGTCGATTTCTAGCGAAAATAAGTTTTTGAAAAAAAACGCGGTCATCGCTGATTGGCGGAAATCGACCATTCAGAATTCGCGGGAATGCACCTTGGAATAAAGGCTTTTTCCAAGACTGGTTGCAACGGTAGCATTAATTTGAAAGATGAGTATCTTACCAGGGTACATGTAATTATTGCTGGGTCATATAGATAATTAGCTGTCAGAAAGGATCATAGATTATGATTATTTAACCGTTTATGAGTTAATTAAGTGGAAGTTAACGGTTAAGTGCAACCCGTTAACCGTTAATATTAACAATTAACGGGTTCCGTTAATTAAGTAGAAATAATTTATTTATATACCCTTACCATTACTGGTGTGGGGTGAGAAACATGATACAAAAAACTAGTAAAATGAAGAAAAAACAAAAAAAAAAGAAAAAACAAAAAAAAAAGAAAAAACAAAAAAAAAAGAAAAAGAGTCA